TATTTTTATGTTAAAAGAGGAATCAATAAAATGTTGAAAATATTTTTAATGGTAAGAATTGCTTCGGTCCAAAGACTGACAACGGTGTTGCGTCACTGAAGTAAATGTATGCACATCAAATGAGATCAAAATAACAAAATGCTAAATGCCTGCTCAGAGAAACAGATGCATGCAAAAGCCTCTGAGTACCCGGACTGCATTTCGCAGCAATTACGTTTTGTCGCCATGCGACATGTGTGCCTTGAACACCAGTTTTTAAGACTGCCCCATACCTATGCATGTATTCGGTGTGGGGTCATCTTAAAAATTGATATTCGACACAGATATATTTAAATGGCCCGGAATCAAGAAATAAAATCGTGCGTGCTGGCGGCGAAATGCAAAAATGCTCTCCACTATCTCTGTCTTTCCTTTCAATCCCTCAGTGTGGCTGTTTGTTAGGCCTCTGGCGAAATTTTGCCAGAGGCCTAACAAACAGCCACACTGAGGGATTGAAAGGAAAGACAGAGATAGTGGAGAGCATATGTTGTGAAAAAATGTTCAGAAGATGTAATAAGGACCAGTGTGAAGGCTGAATGTAAACCTGGTTGCCCCTAAGCTGCAACCACAGACAGTATTCTGTGTGGATTGAAGTGGGAATCGCCAGGAACGGCAGGACGTGACGGTACCAAGGAACGGCAGGATGTGTGAGAAACGGTGCAAAATTTAGCGAAACGGAAAAATCTGAGCAAAAGTTTGATTAAAAGCGTTATAGGAATTGGATAAAAAAAAAATTAAAGCACGCAATATCCAAAGCAACAGTCTAGAAGACAGCTCGTAACTAACAAAAAAAAAAAAAAGAAAAAAACAAACAAATGGTTCTAGAAATGCAAGAAATTTAGCATTATTAGATTGCCTTAAAATGTGATACTTTTTCCAAAGAAACGTGGAAAGTGGAGGGGAAGCAATAAGAAATGTATACGTGGCAATGGTAAGAAATGTATACGACTTAATGGACCGAAACATTTCTTACCAACTTTAATAATTCCTTACAACTCTTTCATTTTTTGTTCATATTTTCTCCAGAACCTTAAAAAGTGGATAAAAGTACCCCCTGTACTATGCACGTTGATTTCAATAAAACATACTTGTGCTTGACAGTGTCAACCGTTTCATCGGCAATATTTCTAGCCATTGTTTTGGATGCATTTTCAAGTGCCAGCCAAACGGTGCTAACACTGGTGATGCCACTTCCCAGCACATAAATGGTACCATGCACAACACCACGACCCTCACCATCACCCAGATGCTTCTCTGCTCCAGAAGCTAGTGTCTTCCCCACTGACATCCCCATATCGCCAATTTTGTTCACTGAATTTTACAGCACTGTAACGCCTTTCTGAATAAAATAGCTTCGGCCAATGAAGTTTTTTTGCCTGGACGTTTAATGGATGTGTAGCGTCTCCAGCTGTGGGTGTTTTTTCAAATTCCCATAGACTCTTAAAATTCCCAAAAACCCTTAGAATTTTCATCAAGATAAATTACTTACGCAAATATTTGGTACATTTAGCGACTAGTTTGCTGCCTTTGTGTACGTAATGTATGCCATATCGTAATGCTGGATTCACTCGTACTGGTTCTTCACCAGGTTCCAGCGCAGATCGAATTCGGGCTGATCGGTCGACCACTACTTTGGACGTTTTTTCAGCAACTTGACCGATATTTGCAGCTAAATAGTCTCCGCCTAAAACATTCTTCCTCCTGATAACTGTTTGCTCTGTTCTTGGCATGCTCAGCAATCTCTGATTGAGACTTCAAGTTTTTGAAATTGCGCTACCTTTCATCAAGAAATCGCCAATTTTCTGGCTGAGATGCTCTCTTTCCGCTTTACTCATAGAACGTGACAATTCTTGC